GGTAATGTATCAATGAAGAAGATTTGAAGGCTGAATCATATGGGAAATATGGTGCTGGGTTTGCTCAGCCTAGCTAAGGAGGGGATCTAACTGTAGTCTTCCATTAAGAAAAATAGGAGTTGACAGAGCCAAACCCTCCTGAGAGAAGAGGCAACAGGCATGTGCTCCAGCAAAGGAGATTTCAGCCAGAGAAATTCTCCACACTGAGCGTTTAAGTGCTGGAACAGACTACCTGAGAGGCTAGGAAATTTTTGTGTTTGGATACTTCATAATTTAACAAGGCAAAGCCCTGAGAACCTTTCTCTTTGAACTAGCCTCTGCTCTGAGCTGAGGTTTGGACTGGAGACCTCTGGAGATCCCTTTCAACATGAATTGTTCTATTAATTTATTAGAGAAATCTCAACCCATTTTACCATAACTTTAAGTTAAGAAACTGGTCTATGAGCTTCTAAGGCTTTAAGGAGTTTGACATAAATTCTGCAATGCCTCTTTCTTAAGGAACCTCTTTATTTTAATATAAAATAATTTCAGCAAAAGGCCACTTACCTGTGTGTCTGGAGAAAGAGGGATTAGGAAAAGATGAGACATCCTTGCTGGTGAATGATATCTCAGGTATCACCTGGCTTTCATGTCAGTGTATTCTGTTTTGACTCCTCCAGCACAGGTATCTGAAGTATAAAAGGATGTCTATCCATAACATATCAACCTTCTCTGCCAATAAACTCAACAAACCCCACTTTTTAATTGTGCACATTCACAAATAGACATGCTCATCCAGAACAGAACACAGAGAACCAACCCGTGAACTTGATCTATAACCATGAATTTCAATGTATTCCCCTGCAGAGGGGACAGACAGTCCAGAGAAGATTTTCTGGTTATGTCACCTTATCTCTTATACATGTAAGATAACTCAACAGAGGGTAGTAGCATAATAAGATCTAAACACTCATCTCTCCACTGGATCTTGTGGCCAAATTCTTAAAGGTAGTATGCCAAAGAAGTGTCTGTATTCCTCAGAAGCAAATGGTAGAAGCTCAAGCTCTGACTACCCTTGAGTCAAAAAGGTTGAGAATGTCATATATGTGCACTGGCAGAAAGGTACTACAGGCAACCTCAGAACAGAGAACCTGGAGAACCTCTCACCCGAAATGCTGGAACATCTGCTTCTATGATGGAGTCAGAATTATGAAACCAGAAGTAATTCAGTCTCCTATTGTCATTTCTATAAACATTTACGTTTACAGTAGTATGAAGCTGGCTGATAACACCAGTTTGATGATTGTCACGTTTTCTTGGTCTATGTCAGATATCTCGGTGCAGTAGTACAGTTGGTGTTGAGATTCATACGTTTTCTTTTTGGCTTGAGATGTCCAGATATGATTCTTGAGAGGAGATACATACTTATGTAGACATTCTTTTCTGGGTTTCAAGTCACATTCAAGCTTCAACAGTTTCAGTTTTGTGACAGAGTCACAATATCTTGGAAGATCATCAGAGCGGCAAGAGGAGATGATAGGCTGAGAAGCCTTCCATTGCCAATCTACTACCCAAAGATTCTCCACCTATTATACTTCACTGCTAGGCTAGCTGGCAAATTCTGAAGTCAACCCTACCAGCTTCTTCCAGATCCGTCTTACATACTTGCAAGTTTAAGACATGAAAAACTCACAGAAGGATTAACATCCATCTGGTATATGACTTCTAGCAGTCAAACAATATTGGTAGGTTTACACTGTATGAGGCAGATGGCAATCCAAACAGTAAACATCGCATAGTGAAACATAGGCCTATGTGAAGGTACTACCTCAGATTCACAAACATTTCAGCCCCATGATTGTGGCTGAGTGCCAGAGGTCATAAACCTTGAATCTTAACAGATTTCAAAAGCTCTGTCTCTGTCCCATGTTAATGCAACTTGCCATGGATCCAAGCTAATACCAGTGCTGACTGGGAGCCTATAAGAGGTCTCTGTACCTGCTTTGTTATGTGTTTAGGATATTTGCCATTCAGTAGTTATCTCTGCACATCAGTAGTTACAGAAGTCTAGATGGGCTTGTCAATGTTCAGGGTGCAAGGGAAACTTTCCCCACTAAAATGTTGCCAATGCCCAACAGAGTAATTCCAAGAAGTTTTGTTTCTTCCTGTGTATTGGAAGAAATTCAATAGCCAACTGATAAAGCTGAAGGGTTTCCTTTGGTTTTAACAGTCATTGTATTGAAGATATTTCACACTTCCTTTATTTAGGAGCTTACTGAAGGAATTGAATTGAAAGTTCCTAAATTTAGAGAATTCTATTCTTACTAAAACTTCCTCCATTTTCATCAATGTCATTCCTCCAGATTTTATCAGGGAAAGAGGAAAACATTACTTACGATGAAACACGGAGAAGATTAATAGACTCCAGTCTGATTAGTTTGTAAATGCAAAGGTCTAGAAAGAAAATAAGGGAAAAAAACTCAGAAGGTGTGAATTTCCTAAGCTATCCCTCTGATGGGGAAGAGCGCAGTACTTTCAGAAGAAACTGAAGCGGAAAACCTAAATTAATCGGAAGACTCTATTAACAGAACAATCTATGTAATTTGCCAAAAAAATACCCCAGACCAGTACACTTTCAAGTTCCAAAATAAAAATTTGTAGTTGGAATCCAGGATCCCAAATCCGTGACTTCTGAACAGACCACTGGAAACAGCCTGTCAGAAAGTCTCTTAGAACTGAAGTACAGAATGCCTTCAGTGCACACTCTACATTATCAGCGCCACCTTGAGTGCATCACTAGAAACAACTCCAGCAGCGTAAAACTAATCCTCTCTACAGCACGATTGCATTTCAGAGAAGCATTTTCCAGACTTATTCTCTTTCAAAGATTTCCATCTCAAATACACATGGATGATGCAACAGAAGAGAGGCAGGGAGAGACCTGCCTTTCACTTGTATTGCACCTAGAAGAGGTGGAGAAAAGGTATCACAAAACAATTTAGATTCAGCTGAATCCTGCAAGGCAGTGCCTACCACTTCTGGCTTAATCATAAGCAGAAATTTCCTCAATCAAAATATAGTTAGGGGTGATGATGATGATGATGTCCAAAGCAAAACAGAATCCTGTTCAGTCTCCAGAGAAATAGAAGCAGGTTGCTATGCTTTTTCCATAAACTCTTTAGTTAAGAATTTGAAGGCAGAAGTGAGCAAATCAAATGTATAAGATGTCATAGATATTGCATGTTGATTAAATAATTGGTTTTATCTCTATTTCTATACACATTCTGTTTACAGCCTGCTTGTATCAGACCCCTACACATTTAAAGCAAATTCCTGTATGTAGTCTTAATAGCAACAGATAATGTCAGGAAATTTGTTATGGGATTCGCTCCTGATTTTCCATTGCTTTCCATCTAGGAAGAATTGATTTATTTACTCTAATTTTCTTCTGGTAGAGCTGAATAGGACCTAACTTACCATTACACTGTTTCAGTTCAATACTGTAAAAATTAAATGCAAACCAATAGAGTTATACTAGTATATGCCTGGAAAAAAAAATCAGTAGTGAATTAGGCCTTTAATCTGGAGATGATGCTCCTCGTCATGATTTGTGTCTGTATCAGTAAATTTGTAAATGCTGTTAGTGTTCAGAGCTGCTCAGACGTACTTTTCAAACCCACTGACATCCATAGGAACACTGACTTGTCTATGGTTCTGATAAAGAGACACCTGGCATTGATACCACACTTCTAAAGCTGCTTATTTCCATTTTTTAAACAAACCAGTTGTCACTGTTGTTGCATATTTTTTTTATTATGACCTATTTTAAAGAATAAACAAAGTAGGAATATAGGCTTAACAAAACAGCATTTTCTTGCATTGTAAATGTATATGCAAAAATTCAGCTGTTAACAAGCACTGGTTACTCCTTTCTGGCAAAGCAGTGCAAAGAGGCTGAAAACAGGGCATCCTGCTCTGCTGACTGAGAAGCATAAGCTGAAAAAGCAAAGCTTGAGATCCTTATTACTGTATGTGGTCTTAATTTTAAGTCTGAGAAGACACTCACTATTGAATGGGACAATCACAGCACCTGTCTTTTATCAGAAGACAGCTCTCTCCACCTCTAATGGCACAGAACTCGTTACCACCACTGGTGATCTTTGTTCCTTTCACTCCCATCTTCCACATCCAGTACCATCTGCCTTTCTGTTACATCTGGGGTCCACCTGCTTCTGCTGTGGGAAAGTTTCTTTTCAGTAGCACATAATAAATTGAATGCTTTGCCTCTGGGCCTCTTCCTTATTTATCTTCTGTCTTAAATATGTGTCTAATGTTACCCAAACTGACCTGCATGCTTATATATCCCTTAAACATTGAACACTATTTCCAGGCTAAGCATTGTAAGCTTCTAGACTGTAAAGTCAGAGTGTCATTGACTACTGTTAGTCAGTAATTGTAGAATTGTAGAATAATTTCATATTTGTATGTTTTATATAATTGAAATACTTTATTAGGTGAATAAGTATAATATTAAAATAAATATAGTGTTGCACACTAGTGAGATTTACAAATGGCAGTAAAGTATCCATTACCATTACAAGAAAATAAACGTACTTGTCATAATGTGAAAATGTAGCAAACATTCTGCATGTTAACTCAAAATGTGCCTTAGCTATACAAATACAAATTCTGTCATTTTAAAACAAAGATTGTACATATTTAGAGCCATGACCACTAAGAATGATAAAAAATAATTTATGCAAATTCTTCAAAGATAATTTTCTTTCCTTGAGCAGTTATTCCCAATTTTATTGCTTCAAGACATTCTGCACAGTTCTTTGATGCATGTGAAGCTGGAACCCGTCCAGACAAGGACAGAGATCTATCCATACCTTGGTTTTGCTATTGAATGGATCATTTTAATTATATGACGTCATAACAATACGTTTCTATGTCCTTATATAAAGCCTTGAGTATAGCATCTCCAGATGATGAGAGAGATGAAAACGGACCGTTTTATTTGGAGGCTGAACACAGAGTTTGAACGGGATATTTAGATTTCTTTAAACATAGACTGTTGTTCTTCTTCTGAATTAAAGCAACGCGCCTGACAAGAAGTAAATCAGCTGGACAAACAGAGGACCTTTAACGTCTGAAGATGGGCAGTGGAGCCAGTTCTGAGAGCAAGGAGCTGGCCAGGAGATCCAGAGAACTAGAAAAGAAACTCCAGGCAGATGCAGAGAGGGAAGCCAGGACTGTCAAACTGCTACTGCTGGGTAAATAGAATAAGAATTGCTTATAATGCTTTTCCATTGGTTATTTTGCTCTGGAATTACATTTCAATACAGTGAATTTCTCACCTCTCACTGTTTTATTTGAAGATAGCCCTGTAATGCACAAAATGTCTTCTCTGTTTTTTCCTGCATTGTAACTGCAATGCTTACAAGGGTTTTTAAACTGATGTTTATTCAGACTCAGTGACATCCTTTAGATAAAGCAAATCAGTTTAACTCTGTTAGCTGCATCTTATGCAAAAGGTCTATTTATACCTGTTGAGAATCTAACTACTATTATTAATGAAGAAATAAGAGAAAAACAAAACCATGTTGACCTCTCAAATAATAATGGGAAAGCAGCAGTTTGATTCACTTTATGTACCATCAACATTCAGATTGCGGTTTACAAAGCTTTTCATTCCAGTGGAGAATATAAAGATCTTCTCTGCCACATTAAAACAAAATATTTCTCCTACTGAGGCAAGCTTGGGTTGGTCAAACAACAGAATCATACTTGCATTTAAACTTTCATAAAGTTTTGATATTTTCAACCTATTCTTATGAAAAGGAATTGGCATACCAAATCAGAACCAGGGTCCATCTACCTCAGCATCTTTTCTCTGGCCTTATCGAACACTGATCCATGAGGAAGATGTAAGAATTCCTTTAAGAGGAATTTATAGGATAAAGAGAACTTTATAAGATGAATATATTTATAAGGAAGAATTTTAATGATATATTTTTGTCTTCAAGATTTCATGCCTTGGCAATAACACTGGAGGTTGTCTTCCACCAGGACACAGACTAAATTACCCCTCCTAGAACTTGTGTATGTATTTAGTATTAAGGATTTTAATTTTAAATGTTTCCTAATGTATATAACTAGTCTGCTTCTGACACTATTCATATCAGTCTCAACATACCTTTAGTAAAATACTGGGAGATAAATAGCAAGGTATGTGAAAAACACTTCTACTTCATTCATTTCAAATCTGAACATATTCCAGTTTCATCACCTATACAAGCACTTTTCATGAGACAAGATGACTATTAGAATCTGAAATACCTTCACTGAAGTTTTCTTCATAGAATGTATTTCTGCAGTATCTTCTTTTACTTATGTCACACATGACAAAAATTCAAATTTCTCAGTAGTTAACAGTTCAAAAAGGTTTTTCTCCTGGAAAAATGTTACAACAGATCATAAGGATTTAGTAAAAAATATGTTGAACAGAGAGAGAAAAAAAGATTACATACTTGACAGCTTGAATTTTCTTGTTCTTAAAAATTAAAAGGGTGGATAAAATGTGAGTGTTTTGAGCCAATTGAACATCTAGAGTGAAAGTGTCTCTTGAACCTGGAATCACAGCTGCTGAAGCAATGTGTATAAAGGGCACCATATAACCTCTTACAGCCAACCAGTGAAGAGGCCAGTTAGGAGAGGATTAAATCTGCTGTGTTCAGATCTGTACCTTTCCAAACCTCTGAGGTGATTTCAGAAATAATTAAAATTTTACACTTCTTAAATCAAGGTCAGCTCTATTCTGAGCCAATCAGTCTTCTCTTAGATTACTGATCATTCAGACTATATGTCAACTCTGTATTTCAGGCGAGATGTCACCAGTATTTCTCTTGCAGTAGGCAGATATTGGTAGAAAATACTCAGAAGAAAAATCAGTGTGATCATTATGCTCTTACCTTTTTGAATATAAAAAACACGTATTCTGACCTGAGAGGTTTATTTAATATATAGTCTGGTCTCTCTGCATTCTCCAATAGGTCATTTTGCAAAGAAGAAATTTTATGCAGAAAAATAAGACACCGTGTTTATTTACGTTAAGTCCCGTGACCTGGGCAAACACATTGAACTTATATCTGTTTTGAGGTGGTAATTTACAGTTTATATGGCATGCAATAAAAGCTCTCATGTAAACTGGGGAGGGGTAAAATTATGCCACTTTCTGAGGTTCCTTACAAGTTGCCCAAGAGCCAGGAGAGTTAAGAAGTCCTCTGAGGTAGGTGTTCTATGCTGTCGAGGCCATCCCCATGCCCACACCTTGTCCACAAATCTGGCCTTAGACTTAAAAAAAATGAGATTGCTTTATGGGTCTGGAAAAAGCTTCAGGGTGAAAGTTTAATTTCCTCTGAATCAGGGCCATATCTTGCTTACCACATCACCCGCAATTTACGTTCTTCATAGGAGGGCAGCTTGTGATTTGTTTGTGTGCAAAGTACAGCACACATTCCAGACATGGCCAGAACAGCCTGATGCTCACAGTGATGTCTCACAGAAACAGGAACATAGCTTCATCTTACATAATCATTAATACTTTGAACTTATTTATTTTCAAAGCATTACTCCATGGCCTCATTTTCTACAGTTTTCAGTGGCAGGACAAAACTCACCCTCATTTAAGCTGTCCATCTTCAGCTCACTTTACGGAGAAATACTCATTTTTGGGGCACAACTTACCCATTTTAATTTAAATATCTGCTTCAGGGTGAGAAAAAAAATGAAGCTGTTTTTTCATTTGTTTTAGTAGCAAATATTCTTCTCCACTGACTATAAGAGGTCTCTGATAAGTCGTCTGGATGTAGAAGTTTATAGTATAGGTATTTAAAATCAGTTAAATGAATCAGTTACTAAAGTCAGGTTAAGTTCCTGTTATTAATACCTGCACTGGAAACAAAGACTGAGCACTAAGATGGTCCAATAGTCCTATTGATTGGAATACATATTTTCCTTTTTTGGGGGGAGTATGAGGCAGCATTTAAGGAACTTATTCCCTCAAGAGAGCTAGACCTTAGATCTTTTATCTAGTGCTTTTCTCTCGTGGGGAAAATTTGTTGAGTTTGGTAAGAGGACCAGGAAGATACAATTTCCAGTCTAGTTCAGTTTCCAGAACTTTGAATGGCATAGACAAAGCTCAGCAGGTGGTTTGGAACCTTTTCTTATTTCAGCTTGAAGATTTTATTTTCCTGCCTTTTGCTGTTTTATGTCATTGACAGCACCTTTTGTGACAGGTTTCAAACAAAATATTCAGGCAGTAGGTTTTGGGGTTTTTTCTTACCTTTACTTCTGGAAACATTTCTAAACCAAAGCTATACTTCCACATAAATAACAACTGTAAGAAGACAATAGCTTTTGATCTGAGACACAAAAGCAGCTTAATATAAAAGAAAACCCTACTTCAATGGCTCAACAGATGCTAATCTTGAAACGGGCTTAAACCCTCCCCAGTTTCCACAACTATTCAAACAAATTCTTAGAAAAACTGTAACATCAAGTTACAGCTGAGGCCCTGGGCTCTGTTCTTTGAATTTGAGAGAGTCTCAGCAGCTTTCAGGCACCTCCAGCTTTTTGTCTATTTCTGCTCTGTCTATATATCTTGGTGGCCTGCAGGAAAGAGGTTAGGCACTCCCAGAGCAACGAGGCAATTAATGTTAGACTGTTGGGTAAGGTTCCCTTGCAGCTCGGTTCCTGCTGCCACACTTCATGGTTCTTCTTGAGTCTCCTCTGGAGCTCCAGTGTACCCTGAGATATAGCGGGCTTGGGACATGATGAGGTGCAGTCTGAAATATCCAAAGCAAGAAGAGAGACAAGTTATAGCTTGCTGGAGCACTGCCTGTGCAGAACCTCACTGAAGATGGATGTGACATGTCCTGGGGCACGGTGAATGTGATCTCTGGGAGAAAGTGTGGGAGCAAACACCCATTGACCTTACTGGAGTCGGGACATCTTTCAATTCCCAGGAGTGGTGCCAGAGTTTCAGGCATTGACTGAGATTTCTATGCCTTCATTTTCTGTGCTTTTATCCTGGCATCCACACAGAGACAGAGAAATCAGAAGTAAATTAGAAAAAGCTAGAAGATCTTAAATATGTGAAATGCAAAATATTGGCTGTGGCATTTTATTGCTGGTTTCTATCAGGCTGAGCTATAAATCTTCACAGCGATAGAGTTTTTCAAAAGCCAGTTAAATTTTCCAAGCTCCAGGACAGGATGGAATTTGGCCTAAATTCTTGTTTTTTCTTCAGAAAATCTGGACTTGATTATAATTGCCCTTTTTACTGCCTACCAAAGAGAAGCTGCCTTCAGTTCTCCACACAGTCATGTAAGAGCTGTCATGATGCACTTTTGCCACTGTTTCTGCAAGAGGATGGCTACCGTGGGGGGTGGAAACACCCTTGTCCCTGCTGTCTCACCATGAAGGCCTGTCTCGAAGAGCAGGATACACAGGATGGGGAAGGAAGAAAGGAAGCAGGTGCAAAGTAAATTGTTTCTGACCTATTTCCTGGCATGCAAATGCTGCTGCAACTAACACGACACTCCGGAGTGATGCCAGTGTGTAGATAAAGACATTACTGGATCATAAATTAAAGAAGATCAGAGGTAGAGAACTGTAGCCAAAACATATAAATTATGCCTCCTGCTCTATTTTAATTTTTCCTTTCAGATCTGGAAGAGAACTTTATTTCTATATTAGGTTTCCTGGCATCTTCCTGTGGGGTGAATGCATTCATTCTCAGCACAGCCTGCTCTCTTTCCTACAAAAACTGTAGCAAATGCCACCTTGCTGACAGGGCTGTACAAAGTTCTTCAGATGGGCATTGAAGGGATAATAAATGATCTACATCAAATTTGCATTTTTTCCAAACTGTGGCAGATGGCAGCATCATCCCATTTTACATAGGCTCGTTTTTCTCTCGTACTTTCTGCTGCTCACATCAGAAAATGCTTTGCTTATGGTTTGCTCTCTGCTGTGATTCATTTGGGTAAATTAATCCCTGTCATATAAATTATATTAGTTTTTCAAAATCTGTTTATGACGTCTGTAATCAGTTTGTTCCATTCACTGAGAAGCCCTCAGTTAAAATACCTATGCTTCAGATTTCCTTTTTTTGTCAAAAGTATCTGACACCATCCAGAGAGGTAAATCATAGAATGCAAAGAAAAAAGCAGAGCAGTGATGAATGTTGTCCAATGGTTTCATAGCTAAAACTAAATCCTCTCTTCAGGTGCTTTCAAAATCCAGTTCTTCTCTGGCTGCTTTTGCTAAGACTCAACTCTGACTGACATATGATGATAGTCACTCGCACTGATTTCCAATGAAGGCTTTTGTTATGATTATTCACATTCCATGAGATAAGAAGGACAAATAAACCATACATAACCTGACCAGACTTACGCACTAGTTTTGCAACTGGCTGATAAAGCAAATGCCTGTGCCTCCCTGCCCATTCTGGAGACTTCCTGTAGAACCATTCCCAAGCAGGATCTACTGCACTGTTCTATAGGTTTCCCACTTCCAGCCACATTACTTCCTACCATACCAGTGTCAAGACATTTGCTCATTTGCTGCATCTGCATCATGAGATAGTCCACACTCAAGTCTCCATACTCTTGTTTTTCCAGTTGCTCATAAAGGCTGGATAGAGAGCTTGGACCTGTTTGGTTTGGCTTCCAAAAGGTCATGATACATATTAAATGAGCAGCTACAAATCACCTAATGTCAGAAGCTGTAGTTTATTCATGCTTTTATGATGCCTATCTGGCAGAGATGAAATCAAAATATGACCCATATTTTATTTCCTTGCTAATTAAAGAATCTATTTTTACCTTATTGACTGAATGTTCCTTTCTTTTCAGACATCTCTTTCCTTTTTAGAATTAACATTTTTACCAAGATTTCAGTAAGTCTGAGTAGACACTAACAAGGGTTCTAATTAGTACAATGGGGATCTAAAACATCCACGTTTCTTCCTAGATACAAAATCTGTTTCAGAGAGTTATTTTTAATACTTGCTACTTAACTATCAATCACATCTTCTCAACATTCCCCTCCTGCAGGTGCTGGAGAGTCAGGAAAGAGCACTATTGTAAAGCAAATGAAGTAAGTACATGAATATTCATGACAGTTTTCGAATTTCGCATTTGTAGTATAAGCTATGTAGCTAATGTTTATTACAATATTTATGATCATTTGGATAAAATGCAAAGGAACATCATTCAAATCAAGTTCTCATTCAACCACATAAAGAAAAACACAAAGTGACTATGAGATGTGGCAGGACTGGCAATCAGATCTGTCTGACCAAATCATGCACTGGTCCAACTTCTTGCTGAAGATCAGGGAAGCTTCCTTCTTGGCTTTGGTATGAGTTACAGTACTGTAGTGAGAACATGAATGCATGAGACAACCAGGCGCAGCAGATCCACCTTAGCCTAGTGTCCTGTCTCTTGCAGTAGCTAATGAAGGGTGCTTACAGAAGATCATCAGACCAGACAAGCAAACACACAGTAATACTTGCATTGGATAATCTGATAGTATCTGCTGATCTGTGGCTCAGGTACCACCCTGAACCAGACAGCATCATTGTGCTCTGTAGCCCTCAGCCTCAGCACTCATGACTACATTTCTCCTGAATCTTTTCTGAACTAGTGTAAACTAATAACATCCACAATATTCTACGGCAGGTAGCTCCACAATTTAATTACATATGATGTGATTCATCCTTCTTTGTTAAATTTTAATTTGTTCCTTATTAATTTCATTTGATTTCACTGTATTGCAAGAGAAAATACTGAATCATTCACATTTTATTATAGGGCAAATTCTGTTTGTTGAGGGTTTTTTTTTCAAACTGGTCTCTGTAGATCATTCTTGGTCACAACAGTCTTATTCCAGCTCCTGCCAGAGGTTACAAAGATTATTCTCAGGTCTCCCATAGGCAATGTGTGAACATATTTAGCTACCAGCCTACACAGTGAGCAGCTGTTACCCACCATCTAGCATGAGAAGCGACAGTCATGAGAACTGCTTTTAGCAAGGAAAGCACCACCCTGAAAACTTTTCATGCAATCATCAATCAGGGGAAAACCAGGTTGTACAAGCTGAAATGCAGAAATCCCTGTTCAAATTCGGACTGAGTACCTGGTTACAAAGAGCTTTTGACTGCACCATAAACCTACTGCAAGAATACTTGTAGATGTTCGCCCAAAGTGCACACAGTGCCACACAGATTGAAGCTAGTAGCTTTATTTGCCTGGCTTCTAAGGGAGGTCAAATATGCCTTTTTACAATTGTCTTTTTACAATTTACTATCACAACATTTTCACATATAGTCAAACAGGCTAAAACTAAATTAATTCATGTTATTCTTTCAAGGGTAGCCGAAATACTACTCATGTACCTGGTTTAAGCAGGTAATCCACCTGAGTTCAAGAGATTATACTTAGGCAGCAAAGATCCTCTCCTCCTTTACTGTGTAACCTGCTGAAATATTGCTGTTGTATCTAGCCCTGTTTTCATATACAGTGTCCAGGTCTGTTTCCTATACCTGTCCAAGTAGACTGTTTTATGAAATCAGTAATACTATTCCAAATTTAAGCTCTCTTAACTTTCTTATGTCTTCACCAATGCATTTTAAAGAGTAAAGTAAAAGATGTTATAAGACCAATTTTTTATATAAGCAGTTCAATTTGTAATAAGACAGATTCAGAAACATCCATCAAATTCTTTACTAACATCTGTTCCAGTTCAATGGTGTGTTATTTTGTCTCTAATTGTGTTCCAATCAGGAGACATTCCCTATTCAGACAACCATTGAAATGCATTGTGTTCAAAGCTTCCTCACGCGGGAGAAGATTAAAGATGTTCCTCTGAATTATACACTCTAAGAAGGCTTATAATGTTAACAGCAGTGAGGGAGGGGCAGAAAACTGCAAAGCTGAGTGTTCTTTAAATCTCTGTACATTTAAGAGCTGTCAACCTGATCACAAATATGAATTATTTTACTGGAAAACTCTTAAAGAAAATTAAAGTTTTTCATATAAAATGTCATCTGTCACAACCAGGGACTTTTTTTCAAAAAAAAAAAAAGGAGATTTTCAATTAAAAAAACAATTTCAGTTATTAATTTTTCATTAAAATATAACATTTTCTAGAGAAGACTGATAGCTGCTTACAGAAGCAATAATTTTGCTGAAAATAAACTTAACTTTCTGCCAAAATCAGGATAATTTTACTCCTATTAATATAATTTTCTAATTCATAAACCTCATTCTTTCCACACTGAAGACTTCAATCAAAGTTAAATCCTTCCACTTAGCTTTGCACACTATTTTCTGATGCTCAAAATATAGACATGCTGAAAGGCCCTAAAAAAGTTTGGATGGCTACGAGACATACCTGAAAGGGAAAAAAAGAAAAGCTTCTCTGGAGCTTTGTGCCTCTGACTAGATAATTTCCAGTGTGCTATCTAACTGTTTTGAAGCCAAGTTGAGTATTTCTATGCTATGCTCTAAGATAGCACCTCAAACCTACCACAAATAATTCAGCTAATGAAGAGTAGGACCCAAAATATATGACAACTCATCATGCCTGTTGTGACTGAATCATCTCTACCTATCTGGTGAGAAGTCCTCCCTTCATGAAAGACAAGACAAAACAAAATAGGAGGTTACTGTCCAGTAGAAACACAATTTAGCTATTATGACCTGTAGCCTATCACCTCATGCCTTCAGCATCCTGCATTAACTTTTTTAAGTTGTTCATTTTTTCAAGGAGCATCCAGGAACAAAATTTTCCATCTGCTAAAATGCTCCTTCTGGCCTTAAAAGGTGTCAGCCTGCTTTACAATCCTTCCTTAAGAATGACAGATCTTTAATAAAAGCAGTAAAATTCTTAAAAGGCTGGTGAGCATATCTTCCTCCAGAAGACGTAAATACAATATTTAAAAGAAATACTTAAAAGCAAAAAGCCCCTACCATACAAAACAAAAACAACATGAAAATACTCAAGCAAAACCAAGTTTTCTGTCTGCAATTACCAAATCTAGCTTTATTTCGGGATCTTATATTTTCTTCCTTTGTTCTTCACAGGGAAAGCATGAAGATATAAAACAGCCATTTGTGTACTCTTTCAGGGCCTTTCCTTCTCTTGCATTCCAGATTTTTGCAGCCAAAGGCAAAAAACCCGTCTTCCCCAGAAATCATTTTATGGCCACCAGCGTGAGACACACAAAGTAGTTAAAACAAGTTCAAATAATTCCTGGGGTTTGAGTTTCTATATATTTCATTCCATTATTTATAGAAAAACTGCTTCATTTACAGGTAGTAAGGGGAAGAGTGACAGAATATGCTGAAGTACCAGTGCAAAGGTACCAGACTGCATAACATGGGTCCCCTTTTTCTTTCTGTCAAGTTCAATCGAATTCCTTTGAATCTTGCCATTTCATTTGAAATTGTGCTGAAAACAACATTCAAAGAATCAAAGCTTCAAAGCAGAGTTTATAGATATGCCTGGTCTAAAAGTGAATGGGGAAACATGAAGGGAACCCTTTTTTCCTACAGATGCTATTCCTACAGACACAAGAATGAAACTTTTGGGTTTTCTGACATTCATAAGTTATAAAGATGTTAAGACACACTGAGTTTGATCGGGGTTTTAGATATGTGCGTGGGAACAACTTCTTTTCTGACAGGACTGACTTCTCCCCCTGAAGGGAAAGTCTCCCCAAGAGACACACCTATACTTATTCTGGGCTAACCTGTTAGATCCTTTCACATCAACCTTTTATGCTTGTATAGCTCTGTCCAGACTCTATCCCTGGCAAGAGACAGGGAAAAAACCCAAACTCCAAACCCCAGAAATTATTTATGCAATTACCTGGCCTTCATCTCTGAATAACTGAAGTGAGGAAGAACAGACCCATGGTTCCAGCAGCAGCCAAAGCACTTCAAGTGTATGTTCATTCATAGAATCATAGGATGGTTTGGGTTGGAAAGGACCTTAAGATCATCTGTTTCAACCCCCCCCCTGCCATGGGCAGGGACACCACACACACAAAACATGTAACCAATTTGTCACTGAGAGTATGCTTCTCCAAAATGGGTAAAGTTTTCACCCTTTTTCACAAGTTAAGGAAAAAGATATCTTTCAGTCATGGTATATTCTGCACACAGACCTTGGAGAACTTTAACCACATACCCTTTTCCAGTCAAGGAGGATTATGAAATTATAATTCCTCTGTCAGATGAATTTGCTATGACTGCTAAGGCTCTTTGTCCTCTGGAATACAGGCTATACCCTCTGGAGTAACATGCATGTCCCCAAAGCCTGTAGATAACAGTAACACCTTTCAGTAACTAGAAATAGTAGCCCATATACAAAGAAATATTAAAGATTTTTTGGTTTGTTTTCTTGAGGAACTACATCACAGTTCTTTGTAATAAGATTTTACTCTATGTAAGATTCTGGATAAAAAGGACTAAATAAGCAATGTGACAGCCCATGACTAATATTGTAGATTCCAATAACAACCTCATGAATTTAACCTGACATAACTGCAGAAACTGCTGTTTACCTGTTCCAGCAAAATAGGCAGATCAGCCATTGATAAAAGCTTTTTCAAAGGCCAGACAGATTCAGTTCTTTCTCACGCTGACCACAAAAGCAATTGAACCAAGTTTTCATTATTGTTTTTAATACATCTCTTAAACCTCATGTTTTCTATTTTGCACCAGGATCATCCATAAACATGGTTTCACCCATGAGGAACGCATGGAGTTCAGACCTGTCGTTTACAGTAACACGGTGCAGTCTATCCTGACTATTGTGAAAGCAATGACCAAGTTAGGAATCAGTTATGAAAACCCAGCTAGACTTGTGAGTATGACACCCTTTCTCTTGAAATTGGCATTAGAATGCAGTTTCTGTAATATAATAGTAGAGACTATAGAGCAAAGAGGGTTCATATTTGCTTTATGACAGCAGAAACTAAGTATTGTTTGAATTATATGTGACAAGAGGCCCTAACTGATTTTTATTCTCTCAAGGCTGATGCCTGAGGTCAAACCTTTGCATGAACTGCCATTTTGTTTGCTATAAAAGAAATATTCAACTTGCAAAGACATAAGAAAGAAAAAAAAAGAACCTTTTCTTAGCTCCTTGGTCACTTATTTATTGCTATTGGGAAATATAATAAATATTTCCCTTTTATGAACAAGCCTTGGGGCTCAGCCATGTAAGGAAGGGTCATCCAGACATGTTGGGAATATTTCAGTTTGGCATTGCTCCTGGAGCAGATACCCCCTGTTATATGGATGCAGCACTAGCCCATTGCAATAATGTGGAGTCTGACCTTCCTAATAGAGTTAGCAAGTCTATGCACAAGCACATAGAGGAAAAGCCATAGTCAGAAGACCTGCTATTCTCTGACAATCACACTGAATTTTCAGGGACAGAAGTAAAGGAAAAGCACATATTTCTCAGTGTAACGGTTTAATCTATTACTTGTAATTCAAACCTTGCTGAGAATTTCTCAGAATATCAGCCGGTTCCAGTTTTGGTAAATTCTGCCTGTTCCCTAGAGGTTTACCTTAGAGGGAATTATATCTGCTTAACCGAAAGAGATTTTTCTGTTCCAGAAATCTACATTTCATTACAATGACATGTGGTACTTTGACCTAAACAATTATAAAGGAATGTTTCAGACGTTACTAAAGCTCTTACAGTCATTCCACAAAATAGAAACTGAGTATTTTCTCCCTGTATTCTCTTAAGTGTCCATGAATGCAAGTCATTCAAACAAGTGTAACAGTGGTCAAAAGCAGCATACAGAAAATATGCCCATGTGAATGTACTGCACCTTGGCCCCTCTCCTCAACTGCGGTAGACTGATATATTGCACAAGGTCCCATCCGCCAGTCTACACGGCCTAAGGCAGCTGAACCTTGAAGCACCTAGCTGCAGCTCTTGGCTCATCCTCTAATATCCACTGTGTAGTCTAGACTGTTTGCCATCTGTAATTGAGATATTCTGCCTGTGCTCCAGTACTTCAGCCTCTTTTCTCAGCCCTGCTAAACTTTCTAAGAGGCTTATACATGTTCACACACTATCCTCTACACCTGTTTCATAGACATTATTTTCAAGGGATTTCACAGCCTGAGGAACTGGGAATTGGAACTGTTTGGGGTTTTTTTTGTTAAATAGCTCAGTTCATTTCTTAGCATAAGAAATACATAAGCACCGAAATTACATAAGCACCAGAATCCACGCTTGTTGCCTTTTGCACAGCGATCAATGAACATTTTCTGTGTACCTGGAGGCTCTGAGCTCAAGGTTTCTTGTTGTAGGCTATTCAACCAACAAATCCAACATTGTAGGACAATAGCTATAATCATTAAGTGATATGCGATATCTAGAAGGAGAGAATGTTCCAACCCTTATCTTCAAGAAGCATGTGCCATTGCGAGCAGCCCTTGAGACAGATGTGGGGTGCACAGGAGAAACCATGACTCAGTTCTGCTGATCTTGCCACTCAGTGAGCTGATAGGGCGTAAACACAGCCAGTGTTGTTTAATGTAGAAGGGCAACTGTATGCTTGATCGCCTTCCTTTTTCAAGTAAAGGCAACGCCTTAGTGATTATTGCCCTCCCCCTTTTTCTTTTTATCCATGACGACTCAATTTCCCCAATATTTTAGAAAACCTGAAGCATTTCAGTTTTGATCAGTCTCTGGGTTTTACAAAGTTTCCATAAACTGCAATTTCCACTGAAAGATACAGAACATTCCCAAAATAAATTCGTTACAAATTATTTTGAAGATGTTGCCTATTTTTGTATAAAACATACTCTGTGCCAAAACAGTGCCTGTCAGAATCCATTTATACTTTTGCAGCTATTGACTGCAAGTCACTTCAGTTGTCTACTTATACGGCTAGGAAGGAATTACATTCTATAATTATCCACTGCTGTGACAGTGTATCAAATGACCTTATTTTAATAGTGCTTTTAATTTACAGTACATTCTTAAACTATTAACCACCGAAAGACGTATTTTAATGTAATAGGTTGCTTGAAGTCTTTCTGGATTACTGCAAAAGGAAAAAAAATACAGAAAAAAAAACCATTAATATTATTTGGGATTTTATACAGTTAGGTGTTTCTTCAATCCCAAATAAAAGAACATATGGAAAATGCATTCATTATTTATAGTCACTTTGCAACATTTTTCACTGTGGCCAGAAGCTATAAATTTTATCTTCTAAATATATTAATTAGCTATATTTAATTATATATTTCTGCTTTGATGTACTTATAACAGGTTTAACTTTTAAATATCCTTTTTAATTTAGTTTTTGATATCCATCTGCTTTCTCTCACAACAAATGCATTCCATCCAAGTTGGACTTTCTGTGAGCTCATGGGAAGGTAAAACTAATCCCTTGTATGAACAAAAACAAGAGCTAAACTCTGTGTATCACAATTTAAGTGTAATCCTGACACTAACTAAAAGGAAGTGAGCTTGTAAAAGGATGTTTATACTCACAGGCAAGTACAGGTACCTAGAAGAATTAGCGAAAACAAGAAATTTTGCCCCTGCAACTCATTGTAAACCATGCACATCTTCAAGGAGGTGGAGGAGCACAGTCTGCTTACATGATACTTACTGAAATTTCCCTTTAGGAAGATGAAAGGAAGCTGTGTACCATGGCAACAACTCTGGAGGATGGTGACATGTCTTCTGAGTTGGTTGAACTCATCAGACAACTGTGGAGTGATGGTGGGATCCAGGCCTGCTTCGCAAGGGCTGCGGAGTACCAGCTCAATGACTCGGCAGCCTAGTAGGTGACAACACCTGAGGTGGCCACTACCGTGACAACATAGGAAGCTTGTGATGTTCCTCACATGCAGAATAGCCTACGGAAATTATCGTTCATTAACCTGAAAAAGAATGAGGTTTTTTTTTGGCTAATGTTTATAATAGAAATATTTAACTGAAGGAAACCAGTTGAAAAAAGGAATTTTTTTTTCAGTGAGTTTGCTTAAACTGTAAAAAAGAAAAAAAACCAACCCAAAACCCTGTTATTATAAGTTTGACAAAAGGAGGCAAAAAAGTGAATTAAAACAGCTTAGGTTTTACCTAGAGTTGTCCTGTGAATGTATGAATTTCAAGCTGCTAAACATGCATCTGGAGAAAACTAAAAACTTTCTTCTAAACTAATTTGGTTGCATGGGTGGGTATCCCCTGGGCTGTTACCATCTAAGCATTCAGCTGGTGTTGGCCAGCCATGCTGCAGCCACTCTCCAACCTGACAGCCTTCTTTCTGCAGCCTGGGAGGTGGCAGGCAGACAAACAAGGGGACTAAGGCTGCTCAGCTTTGGCTTCACTAAAGGTCACCATTCAGCTGGGGTACATATCCTAGTTTACGTGGAGTCAGTTAGACTTTTCAGGATTTCCTGGTTTGGTTTCTTCTACAGCTGTTCTTGCAGGCTACAGCAGTCCTGCTCTGGTGTTCTCTCCCTCAGCTCATACAGGACAGAACAGGGAGGTGTCACCTACATCAGAGTTTTCCTTGAGTACCCAACAGTGAGTCAACCTGGGGCAGAAGTTGTTCCAGCCCAGGACCATATTTCAAGGTCTGCAGTTGGAGTTTTCCCTGCTCCTGCAGCTCCTCCTACAGGCTGAGGGCACCACACCAGATGCTGGGTGTCCTGTTCAGCAGTGAAAGGCATAGTCGAAGGCTGGGCCAGGAGCCCTGGGTGCTGAAGGCAGCAATAGGTCACTAACAGCAGATACTAGAAGAGCTTCCATTAAAAAATGGGCTATATTATTATTATATGGGCTATTATATTAATATTATATATTAATATTATACAGGCTATATGAAAATATGAGCTACATAGCTAGAAGGGCTATACCATGAAAATACTAAAATTTGACATCTCTTTATATCTTCAAACCAAGAATGGAGACCTTTACGCAAGATAGCTGAACAAAGGAAATTGTCTGTGTTGACTTGTGCCTGACTTGGCTGTATTTCTATAGGAATGGCACAGAGCAATCTTTTGTTTCCATTCTGACAGGCCACACTGCTGCTCCCAGCACTAAAATCCTCCAACAAGACAATCATCATAATTAAAAGGAAAAATACTTATTGAAATAAAAAAAAAAACCTAACACAAACAACAACAAAAAACCCTAATATAGCAAAAAAAATATATTACCTGCATATATATACATCTCTATATACATATGTGAATATATATATACATTCTAGTACACTATGCCTTGCAGATTAGGTTTTGTTGCCTAAGAAAGAAAATAAGATAGTTTAAGGTAATTCCTTCTCAGTGTTATGGGCCATGTCTTTTAACCTGCAGTGGTTTTCAGAACTTAAGGGAGCTCATATAGACTGCAAAGTTGACAATAATCATTATTTTTTGCTGGTCACATTAGAAACAACAGTGATATGTTTTTCATCTGCCTGAACTCTTCCAAAAATCCTGCTAATCCTTTGTCTTCATTTCATAGCCAATGCTTCTGAAAATCTTGCCTTGGGTTCTGAACCATTAAAATCAACTTAATTTATGCTCTTGCTGCTACGCTTCTAATGATCAGTGCAAAACCAGCTACAGTCAGTCAAGAATCCAGTGCTATGTTTCCATTTCTTTTAAAACCAGACTCCTGTTTCTCAGTCCTGTGAATCAGCTCCTACACAGAGTACTGAATTATACTGTATAAACTCTGATTTTCTGAGATTATCTTCTCTGAGTCTTTTCATTATTAATTCATGCTAATGAAGTTGTATCATTGCCTTTCCTCTGGGTGTTTTAATTGAAAATAATGAGATCTTCTGAATAGAAAATCCCCTTTATGTCAACTTTAGTTGGGATTTCTTCCTTAGACTCACATAGAATTAATCATCTTCTAAAATGGAGTGATGGGTAAGGAAGGGGAAAAATCAGGATTATAAACCATGTCATTGTATAGTTACCAGTAGTACTTCTGCTGTCTTGCTTTCTGTCTTCTTGCTTGCTCAGCCATTTGCCTCTCTCAGAGCAAGAGTCTTATCACCTGAATCAAACCAAGGAAACCATTTAAAGTAACCCACTAGTTTGTGTTCCCTCTTTTGTCAGTGGAGAGCCAGATTGCAGATCATTCCCTTAGAGCTGCCCACAGCTCTAAGAGGAATCTGAAGACGACTCTCTTGCTCCATCAACTAGAAAATTAACTTGGTCTAATTTTTTTTATACTATTACAATTGGCTGCGTTGAACTGAGCTCAGGTATTTGTGACTAAGAACTATCAGATCTTTATGGTGAATTTTATATTCCAGTGTTTATTTTAGTGCTTACATGTTTTATAACTTGCAAAATTACTTTTGTGACTTCCCACAAAGGTGACATGAGTTTGCCTTAGACCCCATTCACAGAATCAGAGATATATTGCATTTTTAAAATAAACCAGATTGTTTCCTGGCCTTAAATAATGGGCAAACATTGGATTACTCAGATCAGCTGCAGCACTCCTTGCTCCAGTCTATTCAAATTAAAATGGAAGAAAATCCCATTTCCAGGTATTACTCAGAAATCTCCATATGGAAGAGTCTATTTTAAAAAAGAAAAAAAAAAATTATTCTACTTTTTTTTTTTTTAACCTAAAATCTATTAAATATTGCAGACAAGGATGATGAGCTCTGAGAAACTTCATGCTGGGCAGACATTGTGTTAGAGAATTAAGAAAAAAAGGTGTGAAGCCTAATAAACATTAGCAAGACTGTGTTTTGTTTGTCAAATGGGAAGGTGTCAACTGGGACACCAAAAGCTTGTAAATGCTTCAGCCATTGTATGTGGATTCTTGCTTTTGGCTTTGTTCTTTGTTTGAATATTAATAGTTAAAAGGTAGGAAGCCACTCAGACAACACCTCTTCTTTTCCTTTTATCAATTCATAACCTCTTGATGCTGATTCCTAGACCAGCTAGTAGGATTCGTAGGCTCTCTCCAGCCATTTTGAGAGAGCTGAATGGCCCTGGAAGAGACAGGAGAAATGTCTCTTGACAGGCCGATAGGTTTTAAAGATCTGGTCTGGATTCTCATTTCAGGCAGACTTTATCTCTGTATGCCAGACAAGGAAACCTCATAATCTACTCTTTTCCAGGGTGTTGTGAGAGTGCTAAGGGGGTCCTCAGCTTCATTGAAGCTTCTGGTTTTGATTGAAAAATATACATTTTTTAACTATCACTTACCTTCCTCTTGTAAACTGATAGATCTGCAGAGAAAACATCCCTCTAATGTGAATTCCTTCAAAATATTATGCCCTCCCTTTCACTTAGGAAGGAAGATACTGTTACAACAGGTCTGATAGCAGGCTGTGACTGCTTCTGGTCAATCTACTTCTGAAAAGTGTTTGTGGTTCTTCCCCTATGATGGCAGTTCCTGCTTGCTGAAAGCAAATGGACAAAAGCTCATTCTGACAAGGTAGTTTTTCAGCATCCCTGGGAAAATAAGGATTTTCCTGAACTGAAATTCTCAGAAAGATGTTTATTATAAACAACTAAATTACACTTCTATATAAAAGGAAAAAAAAAAAAAAAAGCAAAGAAAGGCTCTGAATTGTGGATCTCGGTTGTATAAAAAACAATATACTGTATTTAAATGTGTAATTTACATAAATACTTAAAAGCAGCTCAATATTAAGTGATTTTTCTGATCTTCATTTCACCTTTTGAATTCAGCAATCACAATTTCTTTTCTCCTTAGTTACCTCAACGACTTGGACAGGTTAGCAATGCCAGACTATGTGCCTAGTGAGCAAGATGTTTTGCACTCCCGAGTGAAAACAACTGGGATTATAGAGACTCAGTTTTCTTTCAAGGATTTGAACTTCAGGTATGAAAGCCATATTTGACAGTTTTCTGTGATTTTATCTTTCTTGTGTATTTGCAAATGTATTGACCTATATTGGTAATCCCATTGTGACAGCTTTGAATCCACTCTGAATATCTTGCAATAGCCAAAAAAGCAAGCTATTTTAGTACCAGTACCAGTACTCCGAACTTAATTATATAATGGACTGTTATAAAATATCTCAGAATATCAGGTCCTAAGAGGACATTTTTGCATATGTATGTGTCTAAAAAGCATTATTTGTATCCTGCCATTTGAATAATTGTTTGTGACATTTAGGAAATTTGCCTACCTAAATGCCCTTGCCAGCATGCAAAACATTTGATGACTACTAATTTGCATGCACTCTCCACCTTTCACTCTCTTCTTTTGAGAGGGAAATAACTGCTCTTAACACCGGAATGCATTACATTTGGCAAAAGAATTAACAATTTCTGTCCCATGGGAAATTTCAGTATTAGCATTAGAAAAAAAATCTTTAAAGTGATGTCTATGAGAAATCTGACTGAAAGTAATTGACACTTTGAGATACTCAAGATTTTGTTATGCTTGGTGAACCAATTAAAAACATCTAATTCCACATGAAAATGTATTTGAATAAATTATGACGGTTTAGCGTTCTGTAATGGTTTTCTTTACGGACTGAGTTCTTAATTTAAAGTCTTAGGTACATGTTACTGGAATGCTGTCTAGACAAGATAACTGTAGCGATAGACACATGTATAAAGCACCAGGATTATAACTTTTACATTTTTCATTTAGCTTGTTTTTTTTTCCCTCATGTGGCAATTAAACATTTCCTAAACCATCTACGGTACCACACAAATGTTTGACACAATGCAATTTACATATACAAAATAAGAAATGAATTCGTGTCACCTCAAGACACCGATCACTCTGAAAATTCAGCACTTACCCACAAGCACTACTGTGCAATGTCATAGACATCATCTTCTTACTCTCTGATTAACGTATTTCCAGACAGCTTTGTGCAATGGAAATCTGAGCACCTTCAGTTACAATCATAGTTTATGTAAGAACTAAAATCAGGATGCAGAAAGAAATCATTGGAGTCATGTCAGGCCTCTGACATGAACACTGTGAGTCCTGAGGTTAGATCAGTATTAGAGTCTAGGTCCAACTGAAACACAGCACAACTGAGACTTGAGTTACCCAGGTGTCTTTAAACAAGAGGAAAGCTCTTAATGCCACCACAAACACAAAAAACCCTAGTGTGTTTAGACCCTCTGCTATGTGTCACAGTAGTGTTATATGAGTAAATCCATTGGTGGTTTTAGGCACTTTAGTAATATGAGGTAGAATCACTACAAAAGTCTGAGGGGTTTTAGCTGCTGTAGAGATGTAGAGTGGCTATAAATCCATCCTAACCAGACAGTTACTGCTACTTTGCTTTGCCAGAGCAATACAAAACAGCTGGCAGTCCTGATGACTCTGCACTTAGTTTGATAAGTACCATAGAAACATTCATAAAGAGAGGAACACTTCCACATTCAGAGTGAGTTTTGGTTGATGTGCTCAACTGAGGCTTTGGGTCACAAGCTGTCCATGGATAAAAGGAAAACATGAACAGATGCCTCATTCACTAAACACTTGTCCTCTTCTGAACTGAATGAGGCAGAAAACGTTTTGTATCTGTGCAATAAAAGTCTAAATCCCAATACTGTAATTCAGAGAACTGAATTACTGTTGCACAGATAACGTCTCTTGTTATTTGCTGTCTTCTTAGTGGTTACTTTGCTGGTTTAGTGTAATTTAGCTTTCATGTGCTCTTTAATTTATTTCACTAATGTTGGCTTTGATTTACAGATCTCAAAACATACTTAGATAATTTTAAAAGAAAATCTGATCTTCATAGGTCATCTCCTGCTGTCATTTCCGTTTACATGCTAGGAACAGTTTGAAATCTGGCAAGCTTTATTTTAGTCTTTAGGTCTCACTACATGTACCATTAGGACAAATGAATATACAGCTATTCCCAGGTCTGTAGCTAAGTTTTCCAAGAACAGTGCTGGGAAAATATAGAGACTGTTTTAGTTAAAGAAGAAGATCATCTCAGATAAACATCTTCTACTACTCACAGAGGCACTTCAACTTTACAAGCGCTTATGTTAAACTCTGAGCTGACAGGAGCAAACTAAGGTTAGTATAACAGAAAATGCCCATCAACATTGCCTCTGGACTTGACTTGATCTTCTCCTATTTTAACTGACTTATCATGAATATTCACAGGGCCATATGCTAAAAGCTTGCAGGAATGAATACAGATTCATACAATTCTGTATGCTTGTGAAACTGTACTGCAGACTAACTTTTGAAGGTTTTTTCCCCCATAATCTGTATTTCAGAGTTACATGCCACAAATCAAGGACAGCTCCACTTCAGTTGAGCCGTAACTAACTAGGTCCCAGCTAGGTGCACTCAGTTGGCTTTGGACCCCATAGAAAGAGTCCATAAAAAACTCATATGACTCTACACGAAGATAGTAATTTCTGGCAGATACTGAAGGAATAATGCAGAGGAGGACAGACATATATTTTCCTCTCTATACACAAAGGGATTCACTCCTGTGAATTGCTGCTTAAACAGCAACTAATGAGATTGACAGAACAGAGACCCCCACACTGCAGGTTATACAGCTAGCTAAGTGACTATGCTAGGGCAATGAGTAGGTGACTTAATATTGATCTAGACCAGGGGCAACCTGTGACCAGCTTCCAGATATATGTTTTATTGATCAATGTGCCAGTTCACTGCAAGTAAAAGAATGAACAAATAACTGAGGATTTCAGGGTTTTTTGTCAATGTCTGATGCATGAATTCTGTCCTGAATAAATCCTTGCTTGAATGGCTAGGTCTTTCACCGAGCTCTTATGCAGAGCCCCACTTCCTCAGCGTGGAGTGTTACCTGAAAGTATTTCTTATATGCAGGTATTTAAGCCATTATGTTTCATTTTATGTCCACTACAAAGCTGTACATTTTATATAGTACTGCTTGACCTTTTGGAATAGAAACGGACAATAAACTGGGTGTTTGGTTGCAGTTCATCTCTAGTTGCACTCTGCATATTAACAGCATGACTATGTCCTTACAAGTTAGTGCTTTACATTGTACACATGCTATTTTTCTGCAAAGGATGTTTGATGTGGGTGGACAACGATCGGAGAGAAAAAAGTGGATTCATTGCTTTGAGGGAGTTACTTGCATCATATTCTGCGCTGCACTCAGTGCCTATGACATGGTTCTGGTGGAAGATAAAGAAGTGGTGAGTCAGAAGATACAAGTAACCATTTTTGCTGCTAAGTTTTAATGTACTCTCTGATGGCATATCAGAACTATTCCTGTTCCCTCATAACCATTTAAAGGCTATTATGCTATATTGGTTCTTATCTGTAAAGAACATTACAGTAAAACCTGACATATGGGGATGAGATTCGTCAGTCTCTCATGTTTACCTTTTACATCTCAACAGAACAGAATGCATGAGAGTCTTCAGCTGTTCAACAGCATCTGCAACCACAAGTGCTTTGCAGCCACTTCCATTGTGCTGTTTCTAAACAAAAAAGACCTCTTTCAAGAGAAAATAGCGAAAGTTCATCTGAGTATCTGCTTTCCTGAGTATGATGGTAAGTTTGGAATTTTCAGAAGAAAATACATTCAGATGATGAGTGTAGGCCACTCATTAAAGGTTTAGACTTCGATTCAGGTCACCTATATTAAACCATTTAAATACTAAGCATCTTACCTAAGCACCTGGCCTTTCTCTCAAAAGAATGGTAGGTGTCACATGCAGAGAATCCAATTCATCTCACCCACCCATCATGCTTATCCTAGGAAGGGGTCATCTGTCTCTTTGGAGATGCTTATTTCTCTCCATTGGCAGTAGAGAAAACTGAAAGAACTAGAAGTTTCAGATAACTGAAGCTAGCCCACATTTCAGCACAAGTCGGTGCTTATGACTCTCAAACCATAACTGAATCCAAGTTTTTTGCTCCTTTTCTGAAAACCTATTCCATAAAGGAAGTCTGCCTCTTTCTGTATATCACAGTAGTGTCTACTGGAAACAAAATCCAGCAGCTGTTCCCAGATTATGTAAGAGAATATATGAAGCCATGTCAATAAGTGCCAGAGAAAATCCAAAACCTGTCAGTATTTTAGTACTGACCTAATGTGTTTGGGACAGGGAGTGTCCAGAATGAAGCATACTTAAAGCAATATTATTAGAAGATGGATTCTGCTCACTTCCCAGAAACCAGCTCCCTCACTCCCTTTCTCAGGACGTATCAGCACAGCAGCCTAAATTCCTCAGTGCTTCACTGAGGCATTCAAACATTACGTCCTAAACTCAGTGGAGCTCACCATTTTGCACTGCCTGAGGCTTCAGGCAGGATGGGATCCAACAAGGGCTTTCAGCAGCAGCCTGCCACCAGGAGTCAAAGCCTGCTCCAGCCCTGCAGTGATACCAGTGTCCATACCTGCTACTGTTGTAAAGCAGGGCTACCAACAAGCAGAAAAACTGCATGAGGGAATTGGGACTGAATATACAAACATGATTTTTTTCCCTTTCTCCTTCATTTATCTCTTCATTTTTGTACCTCCACCAATTTTGTCTGCTATCTGATTCCCTTTGAATTTATGCTCTTTCCTTTTTATTTCTTTTTCTCTCACTTTCTCTTCTCTCTCTAAGGTCTTCAACTGTTTCACACTGAATGACTCAGGAGCATTTCACTTCAGAAATAAGGACTTCTGGTTAGGCATTGATATTTAAATTTAGGTGGCCAGTTTAAATACTAAATTTTTATAGTTACTGTATGAAGTTAATTCTCTTTAGGAAAAATTAATAAAGAAAAGAGAGGGAAAGAAAAAAGAAAAACATCAGAAAAAAGAATTCTTGTTTCCTAGCAGCTGTGAGGAAATTCCAATCAAAATGTGTTTTCTCTTTCTTTTACTATTCTCTCCACTAGGACTAAATACATTTGAAGATGCTGGAAATTACATCAAGAAACAATTTCTAGACCTGAACATAAGGAAAGAAGATAAAGAGATATATTCTCACATGACATGTGCCACGGACACCCAAAATGTCAAGTTTGTGTTTGATGCAGTCACAGACATAATAATCAAAGAAAATCTGAAAGACTGTGGGCTTTACTAGCCATTAATTCCCTTGCTTATAGCCTACCTTCATCTCAGTCCATTTTCCTTTCTTCATCCTGTGTGCTGACTGAAATAAAACATTCTAGGGAGGAAACAATATCAATTAAGCTTTTGTTAGCTGTCAGTTGAAGCCTTGGGTATAGCCTGATCATTGCAATCAACACTGACTTTCTGTATCTCAGAAAATTGAAAAAATGTTTCTGCTCCACAGAGGTCCCAGCCACTGATAAATCCTGCCGGCATCAAAGGGAAATTTGTATGTTAACCAATATGATCTTTAAGTAATCAGCACTTCTCAGGAAATGGTAGACACTTCAGTATCCTGTATTTTCTAGTGATGGGAGAAGAAAGATAATATATAAAAGAAACATTACTAGAAACATTACTTTTATTTACGTTTGAAACCTTAAGAGAGCTATAGCATTAAACAGTATCAATGCATCATTTCCATTCAGTACTCTTTTGTTTTCACGTTACATACACAACTAAAAATTAAATACCATTAATTCAACAAAGGCATCCCCCCCCCGACTTAACTGGTGTACAACAAAAAGCAGTGCAAATCTGAATGTTTAATCATACTGTTTTGTTAGAAGAGCTGAGGAACATGTACATAAAATCTGCGCATGGGTAAAGCTGTCAAAGGGTGTTACCCAGTTTGGAGAAAACACAGTAAGATGTAGGCAAGTTACCTTGAATCCCTAAGGGAAAAACATGTCATAGTAACTGTCATTTCCTGCACAGGCCATAAAGGCAAGTTGAAACATTATTTTTTAACAAATAAATATAATACTTTTTTTTTATTTTGGCAATAATTAGCAGCCTTCTTACTGGACAGCTTCTCCAGTGCCCTATGACTGCAACAGTGATTTCTACCAGGCAGAGCAGGTATAAACCCACCAGTCCTCATGGCAAAAACACATTGTTGGGCCCAAATGGCTCCTAGAGAAAGGGGGAAGCAGCCATCAACAGCAACATCATGATCCTCCCAGCAAAGAGGAGACTAAAACCCTACCATGAATGTTATATTTCTCCCACCAAGTATCTCAGGAGGACAACTTGCTGTCACATCTCTCTCTAAGACAAAAACCATCAGCATTAACAGCTGGAGGAGCAGTGGAGAGGTAAAAGTAGCACCAGAGAAAATGCATTAGAGACTTGGAGGGAGGTTTTATTACAACTTTTAATTATAATATTGTTGATTATATATATTTTTTTTATCTGGTATTTAAACTGCATTTAAACTAACTAACATCAACTGTTTTCTGTATTTTGGTTATACAGTCAAATCTTTAAATTACATAAACAGTAAAATTTTGGCTTCTTGTACAAGAAGTGGTCCCTCTTTTACCTGTAACAAGATGCTTAAGAACAGTATGTGTGGCATATATAAATACTCTGGTGTAGTAGTGGTATCAAAATGGCAATCTCATTGCTGCCCTTCTACTCCAGAAATGTACACATTCCAGTGGGATAAGATGACAAAAGATTTGCTATGTTTGATATCACACCTCTCTGTAACTCTCTGAGCTTCTCATTTCAAGAACTACAATTCCGATTCTGTAAATTGCATTTCACAAGGTTTTTTCTGGCATTTATTGTGGGTATGGATTCTTCCAGGAAGCACAAGAGAAAGGAACAGATTTATCACAAAGACCACTATTGCTTTTGCTTACTTTGCAAACTCTTCAACAGGAAGGAATGTTCAAAAGCTGGCAGCTGCCAACTGCAATTAAGTTGGTTTTAGTTTGCACATCGTTACAACATTGTACATATGGTTTTGATAGTCCATGAATGTTTGAATGACCCATCTTTATTTTGAAACTGGCATCCAAAACCTTGCAGAGTGCTGGCTTTACTTCCTATAGCACTGCAAATCCAGTTCAATGGGCTGTGTGAGATCATTCTGTTCATGCGTTGAGCTTGTACTGATGGTGTGTCCCTCTGTTAGATAGAGGGCATGAAACACTGTGTATCAACCTGAAACACTGCTAAGAGGGCTTCTATATAGGCAAGAACACTAAGGCTTTTTTTTTTTATGTCTGATTGATTACTAATATTATGATACCTGCAATTTCAAGAAATAGGGTAGACCTTGACTACTTTCACCTTTCCTGAAATTCAGATGTTACAAGTGAAAGATTCATGAGGTCTTATATGGGATGGAATGCTTCAGCATTTAGATATCTCTATAAGCATTCTAGAGTTCCCTTTTCTAGATTTCTTTCAGCTACTTCCTCTTCTCTTTTCACTAAATGTTTTCTTTTAATGCATTCCTATACGTTTTCCTGCATCTATACCAGGAAGCATTCAGAGACATTAAGGATCATAGAGTCATAGAATGGTTTGGGTTGGAAGGGACCTTTAAAGATCAGCTAATTCAACCCTTCCTGATATGGGCAGGGACACCTTCCACTTGGTCAGATTGTTCAGAGCTCCATCCAACCTGGCCTTGAATCCTGGTCTCAGAGTTCGGGTATCCACAACTTCTCTGAGCAACTTGCTCCTTTATCATAAGAGGGGCAAAACATGCCTTAACTCTACCCTCGAGAACTGACGATAAGCAAAGTCTTAGGGAAGGAAACAAGTAATCCTGCAACGTACTTACTTTTGCGCTGCTTTATCTTTGAAGATGAAACATTTCCCAAGGGCCTGATTTAGAAAAACATCATGCATTGGAAAGAACCATTTAAGCAACTGAAACTGCTTAAACTGTGCTGTAAAGCCTCTGCACTGGGGCCAAAATGGCTAGAAAGGCCACTCAAGAAACACCCAAGGAATATTTCTCTCCCTGGTGAGTACAAGGAGTTTTTCTACATTGGTGCTCAGAGCAAACGACTGATGTGGAAGGGTCATGCTCCTTCTCAACTCTGAGTCAGCCACTCATTCTAATAAATTAAATTAAAGACTCTGCAGTCCATTATTTCACCCACTGGGACATGTAAATCTTATTAGTGTCAATGAAGGTCACAAGACACTCAGAAAAGGTAATATACCCTCCTTATGATGTCTACCTGTAAGATACATTGCATGTCCTAAACCCACTTTCTATAACATTGTAGAAAACCTGCCATAAATATAGCCCCTTTCTGTAACATTTTAAAAACATAGGATGACATATAAATCACAGCATGATGAGCATTGTGAAAGCCTCTTATCTTTTTATCCATTAAAAACAAAATATAAATCCTGAAGAAGCACATAGGAGGATCCCCTGAGACCTAAGATTCAAGGGCATTTATGTGCTGAACATGCATTGACCAAATCCACTAACTGCGTTTATCCATGGGTGTAAATCCTGTCTGTGTAGGAGCAAGCAGCTGTGAAATGACATTATATAGCCAGGAGATGCATTCCTATGGGATCTTGCTCAAAAGACACAAAACTACAAATTGCTACCTAGCAGCACTGTTCAGTGGCTGGTTTTGTGATAGCAGGCTGTCACAGAGAGGAATGAGATGGACTGATAACTCTGTTCGATTTATGAGGGAAAGAACATAGTAGAGCTGATGATACTTTTACAAGTTCTGTGCATTGATTGAAGCTGTGCTAAAGAGCTGCAGCTTAAAGGGACATGATGCTCATTCACATTACAAATAAAGATTTATAGAAAGGAAACCTTAATGTCTCCCTTAAGCGTTTCTTTTCCCCTGTAAAATAGATTGTTACGTAGTTTGTGAGCTATACTGTCTGTACGTACAGGTGTATCGCGTCATGCCACTGAGTTTTGATCAGAGCTCACCATGAATTAGAAGCTACTGGATTGTTCTGCTTAACATCAATAACATGATGTACTACAGGAGATATTTTTTCCCTGTGTTTACTTTGATATGACAACTTTTTTTTTCCCTTATTGTGCTATTACCAAAAAGCCAATACAAACCTTGTTTAGGAGTTCTGCTTAAAATTGATGCTCACTTTATTTTGTATTGGCGATAGAACAGCAATTAGCAATTAGCTTGTAGATTGGCTTGGTGAGAATTTCCACTAAATTTTTATGCATTTGTGAGTGTCACATTTTCTTCTCTCTTTTTTTGTCTTTATTTTACGTGGGATCAATAATGATGCTTTTGGATAATGTCTTGTTTAGTCTAAGGTGCTTTAATTCAGTGCTTAGAATAAAGAAGCTAGAAAAAAACAGGGTTTCTTCCATTAAGAAAAAAAAAAGAAAACATTAGTTAAAGACCATAAGTAGATCTCACATGAAACTAAAATGACAGGTAGGTCTTAATAAACTACCATTGCACCTCTTCTTTGGAATAAACAATCATTTACTTTAAAGCTCATTTACAGCCAGTGTTTTTCAAATTAGAATTAATCTGACATTCTAAATAAGTCTCTCTCTGAAAAGCCGGATGGGGCACAGAAAACACTTGTTTAACAATTTTGGAGCTTCACAGAAAAGGAGTTAGAGAAACAAGGTGAAGGTGTCCATGCCCAAAGAAAAGGGAATTAAATGAAGGACAGGAGCATTTTCAGACAAAATAACACCCATTTTTACATGTTATAAATGAAAATCTTCAAGGCTGAGCCTAAACAGTTTTGTTGAAATAAAATATTTTGATAGGTCCCAACTATTTCTCTCTTCTTGTGTGAAGAACGACCAGTATCTGTTAAAAACAAAACGACAGACAAATGTTGAAATTCTCAGATTCTTCCCTGATGGTGAATGCCCATTCTCTGAGTAGCTCTAGTCAGCAATATTCATTTTCCCATAGTTGATGTGCTTTCAAGCAACGTCTGACTGCACCAGCAGAGAGCAGTAGTCCCCCCATCATGAAGGGTTAGACCCTGCAGGGGCTTTGTGGCTTTAGATTATGTATGCGATAGGGCCTATGGTCAGGGTCTGCGCAGGTGATAGTGCTCAGTATTTCACTGTTCTTGTCTATATATTTCTTAGGTTGACAGGAACAGTGAGGAATTCTGCCCACAATATTAGTTTAGGCTTATCATCTCTGAGCTCATGAGTATAAAAGGGCTGCTGCTTTCCCCTTTCAGTATTTTATATGTTGCTTTTAACTTCTGTTTACTGAATTTAAGTAAGTTTATTAAATTTGCTTCCATAAAACGATGTTTATATACATATACCTCAATGTTTATATTGTAACAAGGTTTTTACCTCTCAAAAAGTTCATGCAAGCAGAAACCTTCTGTTTCCACCAGGCCCTAGTAAATGCTTGTTTACATTATCCCTATCTGTAACAACCAAGCACCCAACTGAGCCCCTGCAGATTTACAAGTCCAATGAATCCCTGATGTTGAGATATCAAACATCCACTTGCTAATTGTGACATTAATCTCACACTGTCTGCTGCTGAGATGTTAATGCTGTACTAGTGCCA